AAAAAAAAAAAAAAAAAAAAAAAAAAATTCAGATGTTGATTCAACGGGCTGAAGGCAGGGTTTGAGAATCTGATTTTCTAACAAGCTCTCAGGTGACACTGATAGCCCCTGGACCACATAGTAAGTGGCAAAACACTGGGTATGTCCCTTGGAGTTAAGTTTGTAGATGTTCAAAAATTTCTTTGTGGAGCAGTTGTATTCATTTTCTATAGCTGTCATAAGGAATTATCTCAAAATTCGTGGCCTAAAATACCATAAATTTATTACCTTATATTTCTGTAGTTCAGAAGTCTGACATACATCTCCCTAAGTTAAAATCAATGTGTGCCCAGGGCTGGGTTCCTTCCTGGAGGCTCTAGGAGAGAATTTGTTTCCTTGACTTAACCAGTGATGATATGGTTTGGCTCTGTGTCCCCACCCAAATTGCTCTCGAATTATAATCCTCACATGTCGAGGGAGGGATCTAGTGGGAGGTGGTTGGATCATAAGAGTGGTTTTATTTATGCTGTTTTTGTGATAGGGAGGTCTCATGAGATCTGATCGTTGAAAAGTGGCAATTTCCCCTGTGCTCTCCCTTCTCTCCTGCCGCCATGTAACATATGCCCAGTTTGTCCTTCACCTTCCGTCAGAATTGTAAGTTTCCTGAGGCCTCCGCAACCATGTGGAACTGTGAGTCAATTAAACCTCTTTTATTCATAAATTACCCAGTCTCAGGTAGTATCCTTATAGCAGTGTGAAAACAGACTGATATATCCAGATTTTAGAGGCTGCCTGCATTTCTTGGTTTGTGGCCCCTTTCTCCATCTTCACAGCCAGCAACATGGTGTCTCTGATCCCTGTTCCTTCATCACATCTCTCCCTGTGATTCTCTCTTCTGCCTCCCTTTTCCACTTTTAAGGACCCTCGTGATTATATTGGGTTTATCTGAATAATCTAGGATTATCTCCCTATCTTATTTAGCAACCTTAATTCTATCTGAAATGCATATTACATAACATGTTCATAGGTTCTGGGTACTAGAAAGAACATGGACATCTTTGGAGGACCATTATTCTTCCTACCACCAAGATTATGACAATCTGCTCCCACCGAGCAGCATGAGTGTTTCTGTTGGTCCACATCCTTGCCAACATTTGGTTGTGACAGACATTAGTGTTTGCTAATCTGATGGGATATATCTAATATTTTTGCTTTAATTTCAATTTCCCAATTACTTGTAAGGCTGAGAACCCTTTTCATATATTTATAGGTGATTTCCTCTCTTGTGATTTGGCCATTCACATACTTTGCCTATATTCTATTAGGATGTTGGCATTTTTTCTTATTAATGTTTATAAGTTCCTTAAAATTATTCAGAACTATTGAATGAATTGTTTATTTGTTGATTGTAAAGTATAGCCTTAATATAGTCAACTTTTTTCATTTTTTTACTTCATCATTTTTTATTAGAAATTTTTCTGTATTCCAGGTTCATAAAAATATTCTCCTATATTTTCTCTTGAAGGCATTACAGTTTTGTTTTCTTGTAGTTGTCTTTAATCCATCTGCAATTGACTTTTGTACACATGAGGAATTCGTTTAATTGTATTTTTCTTTATATACAAATAACTTTTTCAGCATCATCTATTGAGTAGTCAATTGTTACTCTTCTGATTTGCAACTCCTCTTTCATATATTAGGTTTTCCATATGTGTGTGGGTCTGTTTCTGTGCATTTATCCATCTCTTCAAGTCTACATTTTCTTAATTACAATAATTTTATAATAAATCATTGTATCTCGTAGGGCATATTTCCTCACCTCCTACTTCTTCAAACTCTTCTTGGCTACTGTATACAAACTTTAGTGTCAGTCTGTCAACAGCCTTGAAAAACCAGACTGGGATTTTTTTTTTTCATATTGAACATATAGACTAATTTGGCATAACTGACATTTTTGTAAAACTGAGTCTTTTAATTTCAGGAGAGAATATATCTTTCCATTTATGTAGATCTTTTTATACTTTTAAATAAGGTGTTATAATGATCTGTGTCTTATGTGTCTTTTGTTAAATTGTTGCTTGGGTATCCCATAGCTATTCTTGCTAATGTAAACGAAAACTTTTTTATTTTCAAAGGCATTTTCAATTTATCTACTGGTATTAAGAAAGCATAGATTTTTGTATGTTGATCTTATATCCAACAAAATTTGCTCAGTTCTTATTAATAATGTCTTCTGAGTCTCTTGGATTTTCTGTATGTAGATGATTCACTTACGATAAATAATAACAACTTTATTTCTTTCCATCCTAATCCTTACGTCCTTATGTCCTTATGTTCTGCTTTACAGGCGGGGACTTCCAATACACATTTTGATGAATGGAGTTACTGTCCATGGATATCCTTGCGTTATTCCTGTTTTTAAAAAGTATGCTTCCAAGGATTTACAATTACATATTTATCTGTTTCTATCAGTTTTGGTATTTATACTTTTTCAGCTGAAGTAAGTTCCTGTCTGCTTTCTAGTTTGATTATTTTGAGTGTTGAATTTTATCAAACATTTTTCTTATCTGTTGATATGATGATTCTTCTCCTTTAAATGGTTAATGTAATAA